GCAAGCCATGGATTTTGCATAGCCCTCACCGCAGCTCAGTTTTCTGAGCATCAATACTGACACATTAAATCTCACACAATTTTAGGATAATTTTGGCTGGAAGTAATGGTTTCCTAGCCGGTTTATTTCCGTCAAACAAGATGATATTTATATGAATACATTCCAACATATCCAAATATTCATGCTCAGAAAAGGGTGGAGGTGAATTACCGCCAGCACCTGTACAAGTACGCCTGAAGTAAAATAGTTAATTGAGATATTCTATAATTGTCAATTGAGGTCCTCTATGTATCAGCTATTGCAAATCATGCAATTTGCATAATTGCTAGTGGAGGAGGTGGGTTGAACTTTAAACGAGCTCTATTTTCTGCGATGTCACGCTTACACTGACCGATTGTGTTTTGGGTATTCGGTCTTGTTAGTTTTCAAATTGCTGCTGGCCATTAACCACCTTTTTTATATTGCATTCGCTCCATTACCTGTCGGTCTTTTAGATAGGGCACCAAGTTCTCATACCAGAGTTGTAATTATCGTCGGCAAGGCGTGTCTCCTTGGGGGTACACCTTGCCATAACTGAGTCTATTTTAAAATCACATTATATAAATTTCGTATTTTCTTCGTAAATATTTTGTTTTATATCATAGTAAGCGCACACGTATTTCGTGGTTTTAATGCAAGTGCACAATTAAGTACAAACGGTGCGATGGAGTTTGACAAATGAAGGTTTTCGAAAGAAACACAGCATTGCAAGTTATTAGATTCGATAAAATACTACACTAATCATAAAATATGTAGTAATCGTTATATCATTATGTAGGAGAACGGTGATCAGGAAAATTTCCACAGACGATATTCGAATGCAACTAGACTAAATTTGCATGATGCGCGCATTCAAGCTCCCCAGAAATATAACACGATTTTTGAATTGGCGTTCATGATTTTACAAAATTAATCCGCCATAATCTAAAAGATCTATAAGAGGATTAGTCGAGGACGTGCGAACACACACCTTTTAATAATTGCTAATTGAATAATACAGTTTCGAAATAATGCAGACAAAATTTGACAGCTCTCACTGTTATAAAACCCGCGCCATTTGCAGTATCCTTCAATTGTACACTTCGAAAGGTAAGGATATGTCAGGCAACTTTTCTACATTAATGTCCAGTAAAATGTGTAGTTTTCGCAGCTTCTAAACCTTATTCAACATTCTTCTGTTTTATATTGGTTGACTTGTATGTTTGTAAAAGCTACGCTCCTTTTCTAATCGCTTGTAAAGAGGTAAGGTTCTAAAGTTAGTACCTATAAATAGCAGCTCGAACAACATAAATTTTAGGCTAGCTATATAATGTATATGCACCATTTTAAATTTGCGGTCGGGCCCTAAAAAAAATTCCGGACATACAATAAATTTGGAAAAGAGACTTTGTTATATGTTATTGTAGTTTCCGCACCATTAAAAGACTGAACATCGGCGAGAATTATGACCGAGCTTTTAGAATAGTGATTAAAAGTTTAACTCCGTATAACCAAAGGACACAAAATTGTTGTAAAACGTTCGTCAACTACTAGATTTGACTTCTGGGAGTCGGTCACTGTGATTACTATATAATAGCGAATTTTTATTGTAGATTTTTATGATGTCTTCGAGAAGAACGATATTTCCAATTACCACGCCCGCTGTGAATGAATGCCAGCTCGCGAACGCCATCAAGATGGCTCGGGCGATTAAATTCCCACTGGAAGTTTTCCCGGAGCCAATAACTGAATGGCTGATGGCATTGGCATTTTCCGTGAACACACGGCCAGAATTCATATTGATTGCGGCTATTTCGGTTGTGTCCACTTTGATGGGTCCGAAAACTAAATTAAAGATTCGGAACCGTTATCGGGAGCCGTGCAATCTGTTTACCGTGTGTTTGAGTGAACCTGGGCCGGAAAATCGCAAGCGTTTGAGATTGCTGTGGAGAGTCCAATCCGCGCGTTGAAGGAGCCAGCTCATTCGATGGTCATCCATGACTTCACGCGGAAAGGACTCTTCCAGCACCTCGTTTCTCACGATGGTAGAGCTCTATTGGCTCATTCTGAAATGAGTTCGTTTTACGAATTCATTTTGAAGAAGCAACAAGAGGGCTCAGGTGAGAGACAGTTATTTTGCAGGCTTTACGATGGCATTGCTGAATGGGCACTAACAAGTGCGTGCACGAATAACAGCAGTTCCGCTGGTAAAGTCGAGCGCGGCGTGAGGTCCTTCTAGAAAGCACTTTGGCCCTTGGTGGGTTCACTCAGCCCGAACCATTTCTGCAGCTGTTTAAACCCCTAGCCAAAACCAAGGATGGGTTTCTTGATAGAATTTTGATATGTTCAATAAAACCTCGCTTGTTACTCGAAGAAGAAGTGGAACAATGGTGTGAAAAACTGGAAGAATACACTACACAAGAGTTCTCCGGTGAGTCGCCTATGTATGTATGCATTTATGCCGTGTGTATGTATGTTTTTATGCATATAGGTATGTTGTATGTATGTAAACCAGTTTACTCGAAATAACCAACAATTTTTTTTTTCAGGCGTATATAAGACAATATTCGACAAGCATGAGAACGGTGTCGAGTATTGTTACTCACCTGAGGCAAAAGAGAAGTATACTGAGTACGCCAATAATCTCTCCAAGAATATGAATGCCCAGTGGGATGAAGAAAGCATTTGTACGGAGAACTTTTCCAAGGACAAAAAAAATTTTATAAGGTATAATAACTATTATGCAGGCAATGCGGTATTGAACACTCGAATACGATATTTAAAATACCATTCTATTACCGGAACACCTTAAAATTGCGGAACCAATTTAGATGAAACAGCGCTCGTGGGACATCTTCAGTTGATGAAATAAAGCTAAAAGCATCATTATTATTAGAAAAAAGCCAATCAGGGCGTAACCTGTATGGATATATTAATTTCAAGCCTCATCATTATTAACATTAACCATCCAATTTAAGCCCAATTTTGAAACGTATATTTTCTAGGATATCATGCGTTCTCCACGTCCTCTTGTCTGTCCTCAGTCATTTTATTGACAATGAGAAAGACGGCGAAGAATGTGATATTGAAAAGGAGATTCCGCGAAACATATTAAGTATTGCAGAGGCAGTCATGGAATATTTTGGAGATCAGCGAAAGGCCTTTATGACGGTATGTATATATATTATATATATATATATATATATATATATATATATATATATATATATATATATATATATATTTTTTTTTTTTTTTCTATCTTCTAGTTGATAAAACCTGTTTCCAAGGAAAACTCCCGTTCATCATCAACAATTCCGGATGATACAGGATCATCGTCTTCCAGCGAAATCATAAATGCATTCGGGCAGTGGTTTGTGGGCAGGTGTAAAGACTATTCCGAAGAATGTGTAAGTATCCGTTCGATGCATGTTTCTGATACATGAATTTTCGAAGAATGAACTTAGATTGTGATCCGGTATCTGCCCAATAGTCGGTTACTGAGGAAAAATAAAACTCTTTTATGATAAATTGATAATTTCATGCAGTCATTTTCAAAACAGTACTTCATTTAAACATCAATAGTTCAAAATTGCACGAATTAATACAAATATTTCAGTAATGAAAATTAACTTTTGTTAAAAAATGTTAACCTTAGTAAATTCAGCAAAAGATTGATGAGCTTCTTTCTTATCTTTAGATCAGTAAATTTGCCAGAGAAAAGAAAAAGGCGGGTGATAAGGAGCCTAGCAGTATCGCTATACGGATAGAAAGCATTCCGGACGATGGTGGTCAGCCAATCATAGTAGACAAAAGCGAACTAAAAAAAGCAGTCGTGAAAGAAGGAGGGCAGGATCGAGACACATCTTATTTCTTAAATCAGGACGGAAAAAAACAAAAGGCTGGTTGTTTGTCAATTCCATTGGCATCGTTCACAGTACCCCTGAAGCACCAGGTGTTACAAGGTTGGTTTACGACGGGTTGTATAAGTTAAAAAAATATATAACACATATATATTATATGTTCAAATTGATTTCTAATTCAAGTTGGTATTTTAAAGTACGTTTAAAAACACAAGAAACTCAGTGTTTCATGCACTCAAGATATCCCAATATCTATTGTTTTCACAATGTATTCGCATGCTCGTTGCCATTCGTGTGGAAACAAACAAATTAGAACATTCTAAATGATTTGTTACAGTTCTCAAAGGTCTGAAGCTTGACACATTGCCACAAGAAATTGGTTCCGGTGACAAGAAAGCGGAGGAATGTAAGCAACATAAATCCCATACTGCAATTATTCCCTGTACAAAATCTATTTTGAAAAATTTTTAAATTGCTGCAAAATATGAAAGGGAACAATGACCTTAAATCGTTGTCATGTTATTTATTAAAGGTTTGTCTGATGAAGATGAAATGAAGGAACTGCAACTGACATGAGTGAGCATGACACAGGTAACCGATCAAAATCTAGTATTTGTATCATAAAACCGTATAATAAAACATAGTTCTATATATACTAAATGCATGAATGTTTTTACGCTTTGTTGAGTGCCATTTTCTGACGTGTGTGTTGGGGGTGTATTTCATTTTGAAAGAGATATTTTTCGTATTTTATTTAAAAGTTTTCCTGCTTCGATTATTTACTGTAGTGGGCAGACAAACTCAAATGTTTATTGGATCCATTGAAGACGAAATAAAGAAACAGAAACGACGATAGATATGAGTGAGCATGACACAGGTAACCGATCAAAAATCTAGTATTGTATCATAAAACTGTATAATAAACAATAGTTCTATATATACTAAATGCATGAATGTTTTCACGCTTTGTTGAGTGCATTTCCTGACGTGTGTGTTGGGGGTGTATTTCATTTTGATATACGTGTCTGTCGTGTCATCAATGCAATGTCGGATGCTTCAAGAGATATTATTCGTATTTTATTTTAAAGTTTTCCTGCTTCGATTATTTACTGTAGTGGGCAGACAAACTCAAATGTCAATTGGATCCATTGAAGACGAAAATAAAGAAACAGAAACGACGATAGATATGAGTGAGCATGACACAGGTAACCGATTGGAAATCTAGTATTTGTATCATAAAACCGTATAATAAAACTATAGTTCTATATATACTAAATGCATGAATGTTTTCACGCTTTGTTGAGTGCCATTTTCTGACGTGTGTGTTGGGGATGTATTTCATTTTGAAAATACGTGTCTGTCATGTCATCAATGCAATGTCGGATGCTTCAAAAGATATCATTCGTATTTTATTTAAAAGTTTTCCTGCTTCGATTATTTACTGTAGTGTGCAGACAAACACAAATGTCAACTGGATCCAATGAAGACGAAAATGAAGAAACAGAAACGACGATAGATATGAGTGAAAATGACAGGGGTAACCGATCGGAAATCTAATATTTATATACCAATCGTTATAAATCTTCTTTTTCTAAACTAAAAATATCATATATTTTAGGTAAATCGGACCGATCAAAACGAGAGATGAAAAAATTAACAGACGCCTTGTCGAAGAATGACAGGCCAAGCAAACGCAAAAGACGAAAAAATGCCAAATGACATTTTACTTTTTTTTATTATAACTCATTGTTAAGATTGTTAATTAATTGTTACGGCTGTATTATTAGAATTTAAACGACGAACGTCCGGTTGAGGAGACACTAAATACCCTATGTAATTACCTGCTTGATAATAAGATATTTTTTGATTGGTTGACTGCATGTAATTGATGTAATACGGGTTTATGATTCGTTCTTTTTGTCTTCTATTGTTATAGACCAATCAATCACAGAGGCAATGCACGATACAAGATGCCAGTCATGTGCTGATCATGTGTTACAATTCCGCCGTCAGATTTAACTTATTCAGGCCTTAGCATGCATATATATCTAATGTAATCCATAATTTAGCTGACAGGAAAAGGACGACAGACGGACATAGAAATGGTCAGAGGCCAAACCCGGAAACAGGAAACAATGGTAATTGATCAAGTCACATTAGAACCAAGAATAAGGCTTTCTCTACTTCCTTCTTGTATTCCAAACGACACATTCCCTCGGCCGCGGTAACGTGAATTGCCTTTAAGGTCCCTAATATTAACAAAAGTGATTCCAATACTATACAGGGTACTTTTTTGGGTTAACGTTATACTCATCCTAAAGGCCCATTTACACTACGAGATTCGCCGTATAGGATTCGTACCCTGCCTGCCCCTGGCGTATGTGAACGTGTGACTGACATGACTAGGTCTAGGGTGTATCAAAAACGGAATTATTAAGGTTGCAGTTTTTTATACACCGTAAATGTGCATTTGATAAACAAAAATGGACGATTCCGATGAAATTTCCTATACCATGTACGTGTAGTTTGGAGCAGTTTGGACGTTGAATTGTTTCATTAACTGCCTACGATACTAAATAATCCAAACCGGAAAACAATAGTCACTAAAAAGTATGGACATGCAGAGTCCGTGAGCTAGGGGTTAACAATTTTTTGTATAGGCCCACCAGAGAAAACATTGTTGCGGAAACAATTGTGACTCGTGACAAATACAAATGTGTCATGGCCCATGCACTTGTGCTAAAAGAAACAATAGTCAATAGTAAATTAACAGCGAGGTCTATTCATATAATGACAAAATTATATCCATTCTAATGAGAAATATAAATAATTAATTTACATTAAAAATTACCATTCTGTACATATTGACATGCACAACGAACAGCGCGCGAAAGTCGATTGTTTTAAGAAGTTGTTTTTTCGTCGTCTACTTTCCAGCTTTCATTTGAAAACATCAATTGTCAAGTTTGACTTGTGTTGTGAAAAAACTTATATTTTAAAAACTATACTCAGATTAAAAAGGAAAAGTAGATCACTAGACAGTACGTTTGAAATTTATTCAGGAATACATATCAGTATGTCACTGTTATATACACATTAGTTAATTCGCAAACATGGATAAATGGTAGAAATAGGCGATGGAAAATATTCAGCTCTAACTGAATGAAGTATAGCGAATGATAATCCAGTAAGTTGAAGGCACAAAAATTAGGCCTATATATTGACAATAAAAAATCAAGTGACAAATAAATTCGTTATTTTAAAAACTGTATAAATTAATAAAAATATTGAGCTAGGAAACTTCACTCGACAATGAGCGAAGAATAGGAGTAATCTTCAATAGAAGCGTAAAATGTCACGTTATCAGGTAAAGTGGGAAAAAATTTTAAAAAGCTATACGTTTACTTGCCAGAACGTACAGGCAGTGAACACAATCAAAGGTAATCTAGGACAGTATTTTAAACGAAAATTTCAATACCTTGCGTTGAAAGGCATCTGCGAAAAATGCTTTAAAAAGAAATAAAGGTTCAAAAATACATCTAACGACACCAACGAACATGAATGCAACAGAGCATACATAATTAATTTCTTTTGATTGTCCATGATGCGAGAAAAGGTCTAACTGATACGTGTTCACACCCGCGCACAGGCACACAAGTCATTCCATATTTCTAATGCGGATCGTGCACTTTTTTGCTATTGACCTGCTGAACATGAAGTGCAAAAATAGGTTGACCTTGGAGCTCAGCGTGCCCAGGATTCGCAATAGCTGGCTGCAAAATAGAAAGAACAGTTTCTATATATTTGAAGTATTGAAATTACTCTAAAGGAACCAAAAAAGGACACGATATTGTTGGAATGAGATCGCATCAAGTTATTAGCTAAATATCGAATCTATACACCTTTTAAATTATTCAGGGCGAATAACTGTTGAATTCAAGAGCAGAATTTACTATCAAACGCGCCGCGCGCCGAATTTTTATCGTTGTTTGCTAGCAGTCAACGTGACGTTCATCCCTACTAAACGTTACGTTCACCCACACTCAACGTTACGTTGGGCTATTGTCAACGCAACGATTCACGAGTGATTATCAACGTAAGATGCTGTATATTCTTACATTTATATAAGATTCACTGCACACTTTCGCCAGTAAAGTGTTTACTAAATAAAATTAGCCAACAATAAAATGCGTATGTTTTGATTAGCCAGTTCCAATGAGTTGACGGTTGAAATATTTTTAAAACTGCCACTCAAATCATCGCTGCATATTCAATCAGAACATAAAGTTGATTAGGGCAGAACGTAACATTGAGTAGGGATGAACGTCACGTTGGCTGCTAGCAAACAACGATAAAAATTCGGCGCGCGGCGCGTTTGATTGCAAATAGCAGTAAGCAGAATTGAATAAAAAATACACGAGATTGCAACCTTTTTCAAATTCCCAAGGATTGAAATCTTTTGGGCTTTGGGAAAACGTACTTAGTTCAGTCCTGGGAAAGTTGCGTTCTTCTCTACAGGAACGCTGTACATTTGGATAAATCGTCCACATGCGTTTAAAATTTATGTTATCTTTTTCAAGCGAGTCATATACGTGGACATGCAGTTATCTGGATGGTGTATGTAGCTACCTACCGGATTATCTTCTCCGGCTAGTTCTTGGACCCCGAAGATCTATTTTAAAGAAAACTAGGTTAACGACTTTAGGCCAAAGGAATTGCTCGCTTGCAGTTAGGGATTTTATATACAAAGCAATGACAAACTCACATCATTTTGCCTTAGTTGCCTGTTGGCGTTGCGTGGCTGATGTTGTAGCTCACGTCGTTGTATTTGGTTTTCTACATCATTAATCTATTAACCGCAAAAATAAGTTAAAAATTACGTTGTCGCGTTGGATAGCTACATATTCACGGAAACTGTCCTGGACCCTTTACAGACATTAAAGATTGATTTTTGAATGTCTATATAAAAAGAGTTCAAAAAATTTCCAGATAAAGCTCTATAAGACTCAAGACTTAAAGTTTCTGCACGTTTTCATGCCATCTAGGCAGGATGAAATTCGTATCGTAACTCAATTGTCTTACTATTTCATTAAATAATTCGTTAACAGCTATTTGTTGTTGACCAACCACCATATCCAGCACAGTATTCGCTGCATCACGTTCAGCGTTAGTTCGTCTCACAGTTGCTGTCAGTTCCACAACCTAAACACGAAATTAAGCAGTTTCACATTAAGTACACTAAGTGAGTTAAATACTGAAAAAGTGTGACAATTTAATAGTTTTCATACCTTCCTCCCCAAATTTTCTATTTCCTCCTTTTGCTCCTCTATTACTCCACGGGAGTCTGCAATAGCACGCGTATCCTAACGAAATATTAGCAGATAATTGAAACCAAACTAAATGTACTAACTCTTTGAGGGTTTTACACGAGTCTTAAATGATCGTCTATTTTAGTCTTCTTTTTTAAAAATTATTATTTATGTATATCTACATTGTCTGTAATTTGCCTGACCAAGCTTTTATATGAAGACTAGGTTGGATTTGGAAAACAAAAATCAAATGGAGTGACAATACAACTGGAATCTTAACTATATATAGTAATAACTATTGCTGAGTTTTATTTCTTTATTTCTTACTGCTGCCTGCTGTTCATCTAAGGCCCTCTTCTCTTCAGTTAGGCAGTTTATCCTTTCATTCATTTCTCTTTTTTCTAGCTCTGACAACCTTAGCTATGAGATGCAATAAAAACACACAAATGTTAGATGACTTTTGACAGCTAATTTTCTTGTATACTGTCCTGTATCATTGCACCAATAGTTTAGTAGATAAAAAAACACCATTATTTTCAGTATTTTACTTTATAAGTAAACAATATTTGTCATCATTGAGACGATGTATACAAATATCTCATATCATCTAATTGCTGCAGTTATGTATTTTACTGTTTTAAACAACAAAAATTTAGTGGATATGTGAATATGTAATATTAATAATTTTTAAATTTAAAAACAAATTTCTGCATGCTGTACATGGTCTGTTTACACAAACATAATAACCAGATCATTGATTTTCAACTATAAAACCATATTGATTCAATAAATTCTCACAACTGTTTAAAATTTGATTTTTTTAAACATGGTTTAACAGTAGTTACTAATAAACAGCTTCCAATAAACACCAGAAAATGGTGAGAGCTTGCATTTTTAATGTGGCATTTAATGATACTTTTGCTTGTCAATGCAGTGCTTATTAGAGGGAGGCATTTATTAAATTAATTATGGGTACCTACCTTTTCCTTGAGATCAGGAATGACTTTATTTACTAGATGATTTGTTTCATTCATCCATTTGTTGTTCATACTTAACTCTTGCAGCTTTACATCTCTGGACTTAAAATATAAAATACAATTGAAAAGCAACATTGCAATAAACTGTTACAGAAAATTTTGACACTGCTAGCTGATATCAACTGGATGCTTTAAACACTGTACATACTTACCTCTCGTAGCTGCTGTTCCAACAAATCTATTTTCTTCTCCATTGCTATCTTTGTTTCTCTTAGAGACTGCAATTTCTGATGCAAAATCTCCAACTATTAATTGAAACAAACAATATATATATAGTACTATAAAACATTTGTCTTGCATGATGTGTTAATAGTAATTGTAATGCTACAGCAACATAACACTATACAGTTGGACACAATGGCAGGGTATAAATACATCACTGGTCTGGGTATGAATATAAGGTTGTCATGTAATTCCTTTTTCTGGCAGAGTGATACATGCATTGTTTATACACTGATAATTTGAACAACATTGCAACATAACATTTATGGGAGTTGTGGGGCCTGATACAGTAATAATCAACTAAAATTAAGTTATCATGTACGTAGTCTAGCTACTACATGAATAACATGACGTCTTGTATTCTGATAGTATACACCTGATCAATATTGAATCAGTTATATTCAGTTATATAGTTACCTCTCTTTCATTGGATTCATTCTTAGCATTCAAAGTGGCATTTTGGGATGCTATTATCGCCATTGTTCGCTCCAACTAAAACATGAAATGTGCATTTATATTATTACTAACATCATTCTACTCAATTATGTTGAAATATAATTTGCATCAAGTAGCCATCAATTATTGTTATGTTATTTGACTTATTTCATCTTTGGTGTAGATTAATCCATAAGATCCACCCAAATGACCCAATACTTAAAATTTAATACAAGATATTTGCATGTCGTACTTTCGAATAATCGAATTTAATCAATTTTCGCTAATTAAACAGGTGGTGTATCATAATCAGGGGGAATATCAGCTCTGCTGTTTCCCCCCCTAAATCCTGAATTTCGATACATGTAAAATATTAGATTTTTCGTAATTTTGTAGATATTTTTGTCGGAAAAACTTGCTTAAAACTAGTTTCAAAAAGCAGCACAGATATCGGTAATGACGAGGGGAAAATTACCTATCCAGGATCCTTTTTTGTGCCAAACACCGCCACCGTACCGGTGTTTTCAATATCAGTCACTGATCTACATTACAATCGAAGTGAAATTGTGTTTGTGGTTTTCAAGTTACCCCTCGAATAGCTGTTCAAGTTCTCATCGAATAGCTGTATTGCCTGTATACGGTAAAAGAACACTCAAATTTTACGATGATCCGTTTACGATTTTACTCCAGAAAATGATCTACTCGAGAGCGTTTGCCAGTCGTTCTCTCGCACTTATGAAAGTGAAACTGCGTCGTTAAAATTACTTTAAAATTTTCGAATGAAAACTGGGAGGATTAATTCGCAGATGTAACAAATAGTAGCAAATAATGAACCAAAAATTATCAGTCGAAGATATAAACATATACTGTAAATGTATATGCTGATATAAGACAGAGAACTCTTTTAATATCAAATTTCGAAGAATCAAACATGAACTGAATCAGTTACTGTAAAAACTTTGAAACGTATTAAATACGCTAGAGTACAGTGTTCACGCCTCTCACAAAACTACCTTCAGACGAATATGAACTATATTTGTGTACAATTCTCATACTCTAAAGCCGCCCCCCTCTTGCGGCTATTCCGGTTCAATGGCGTTAACTCAAGATATACAAGAGTTTACTCTTACCGGAGTTCCAATTCCCGATGAGACACCATCCATAATGACCTAGATCTGTCAAGGTACACCAGGGTTTTCACAGATCTGGTATGAGTTACGCGTATAAAAAATTCGAAGATCAATTTTTATTAATTCTAAAGTAAAAACTTTATAGTAACTTGGTGCCAGCCCAGTCACTATGATGCCACAGCCTCGGTTTCACATTTTTAAATTCCCATAAATTTCCTGGAAACGAATGGACGATTCCTGTGAAATTTCCTATACTATTATTGTTATTACTACGTATTAAAGGTTTATTAAATATATAGAATTGCACCGAAGAGAAATACTTTATGTTTACAAGTATTGTAACTCTATTAAAGACAAACATATAATAACAGGATAAATTAAATACGCTATTTGTCTCCTACATACATGCGTTAAATATTACAACAAGTTGTAACGATTGTAAATAAGTATATATATGCATGTTATTTACCAGATTGGAGGTCCGTATAGGGAAATATTTCCCAAGGTCTCAAAATTCATATTTTAGCGTTGGCTCTGTGCTTTTAAATCTCGCCCGGTCCGTACGGCCTCATACGGACCGCTCGCGTAGCCAATCAGATTGCAGGAAACGCTGAAATATGAATTCGGACCGCAAGAAAAAATTAAATATAGATATTGTTAAAATATTGACTATTTAGATATATGTTATTTGTCCTACATACGTCAAAAATATATTATAATTGACTGCATATATTGTTATATCGAGTTAACGCTCAAAAGAAACGTTTAAATCGGCCGTATACTACATTTAAAAATAGAAAAGCTATCAGAGTTGTGGAGTGATCGAGACGACCATGTTCACTGAGTCTAGAATTAGGTGTGTGCATTGAGTTTGTTATCACTATTTAACTTTATCTTTTGGAAGAAATTAAAACACAGACGTTTTCTGTTTTCATCCAGCCGTACGCAATCTGCAGTAGACAGTGCTTCTCTGTATGATAAACTTGGGTAAAATATTCTTTAAACTCTACTCTGTAAACGTTCAATTTGTTCGCTAAGATACGATGGTAGGTTGGTGTGCCAAACTGGGCCACAATACTCTAAGACCGAACGCATGAGTGCAATATAAATTGTTAACAAATCATCTGCGGTCATAGCACTTTTCTTTAAGGTGCGTATAATGTAAAGGCGCTTAGCTGCCTTCTTTGTAATCATTTTAACACGATCAGTCCATTTTAGCAGCTATTTAGTGCAGTACCACGAACCTTGTGGCAGTCAACAACATCTATTGCTGTTCCGTCAATAGTTAGCGGTTCTAACATAGGCGTATTATGGTAGCAGCGAATGTACGTGTTTATCGGAGCAGTTTGGGCATCCTTTACGAAGGCTTTTTCATGATAGTTTAAATTAATACGATTTACTCGAATTCTTTCATCAACTATAGTCTATACACCCACGATACTAAATAATCCAAACTGGAAAACAATAGTTATAAAAAAGAAAACTAAAACTAGGGTCTGAGCTGAGGGGTTAACAATTTTTTATTGGCTACCAGAGAAAACATTGTTGCGGAAACATTTGTGACTGTGATGATTTCTTGGAATATTGCTTTAAAATTAACACTAATTGTTTCCAAGTGTGACCTGCTGCGGAATCATTATCTCCTATAAGTGTTTGCTTTGGGGCTTGTGAAGCATGGCGAAACAGCAGGATTTCATTTTCTCAATATTCATTTTCTATATAATGTAATATTTCTCATGTTGTGATCATTTGAGAATATCCATAATAAACCAACTCAAATAATACATTAATATAGTAACTACGTTACTTTAATAAATTAAGATCATGATGAAGATTCATGTTCTATACTGCGTTCAACATGTCGCTACATTAATTGAAAGAATTAGGAAAAATCCTTATGTGCAGCTATCATGCTCAGAAAAACTAGTTGACAAACGACGAGTTACTGAAAAGTTATCTATTTAACAAATACTTAATTCCTAAATTGTAATGAATACAAGAACGATCGCGCTCAGCGCGAATTAAACCAAATCAACACCGCACCGCGAGTGAATTAAACGCCTTCAAACAGGCGCCAACCTGAATTCAATTCAAGCTACTGGTTAAGATTATAGTCATAGGCGTACGGATTTAACATTGTTTATGGGGGGAGAGCAGAATACCTGCCTCACGAGCCAGCTAGTAGAGAGGATAAAATTTGACTAGAAAACGTGATTTGTCACATTTTATAGGCTAATTTTTTTTCTGCAAACCTGGCTTTTTAGCAAAAATTGCCCGACTGGCGAGTACAATATGCCAAATTTTTACCACCATTTCTGTTTTATCTGCGGAAAGGGAGAAAAGGCACTGCCTCTTTCCTCCTCTGCATCGTACGCCTATGGACAAAACTATTTAAAATTAAGTGAACAGCACCATATTCTAAAAGCTATTTCTACAATGACAAAACAACACACAAATTTATGTGTAAATTTCTAAAATACTAGAAGGTACGTATAAATGCTAGTTTAAACTCTAGCAAGGGCCAAGCAGTTGTTCAAAACGTTTTGGTCAATGTGCTTCTGTAGGTTTCAAAACTTTACACAATAAGACTTTTATTGATCCAGAAAATACTCGTGAATTAAATTTGATTTTATAAACAAGTGATTGATCTTAACATTAAAGATTTGCGACTATTTTGAGTTACCCGTTTTATAAACAACTGCAAACTGGCCGCTGTGCTAAACGTATATCAAACTGATCTGAGTTAAAAATCAGATAATCAGTAGGCAGACCCTCGACAAAACTGAATTATCATTCCTCGCATTTCATATGACTTCAGCACTGCAAAATTTATCGCCCGTTATATTATAGGTGGGAAAAACGGGGACAAATGACTCCAGGCGCATGATAGTTCAGTTTGGTCGAGGCACCTCATGACGTCATGATCTCAGATCAGTTGAAGAAAGTGGAGAGCAGGGCGCTCCCGGTGCAACGTCTTTTATACGAGAATAGTCAATCTCTCCCCGAGCCCCCGATTTCATCGCCAGAGGAAATGGCGGACAGGCTGGGGAACGAGACTGGAGAATAGTAAGTATACAAGGAAGAATCAGTGCCAGTGGCGTCGCTAGACATAGAGAGGTGGAAGAGACATGATTAATTTTATATCGTGACTATATATATAACGAATTTGTCAAATATAAGTATAAAATTCCATACTGAATATTAAGTTCAGATAAAATCAAATAAAGAAACGAAAGAAGCGGGATAAAAGCAGTGTTTTTCTGAAATAAGTTTATCAGCAAATTATTTCAAGGTCATGCTCATATATACCTCCCTGAATGGCGACGTTCGTGCAAAGATTCGGGGACAATGAGTAAAAAAGAAATTATAAAGCCATTGAACATTGATCACTGCAATAGCAGTACTCCAGAATGAAAAGTGAACGCGATCAAGGACAGCGGTCGAGAGCAAGACTAAATCTCCCCATAGAAAATTACCAGATGCTGACAAATCTGAGAACAACGTCTGACAACTGACACTAACTACGTAGGGAAAAAAAAAGCGACGACTGTACCCAAACACGTGTTCACATCAGTTCACACCGAAGCACAACCAGTGCCATGCGTCTCTGTAATCACTCAATCTGGAACGTGGACATCGGCCTCGAAATAGAGTAAATGGATAGTTTGCTAAAAAGCGAAAAAAATTGTTTAGGAAAGGCGAGGTGAGGTAAGGTAAGGTAAACGCCCTCTTATTGCGTGTATCTGTACAATGGGCTGCTTAATTTTCTTTACCGAAAGCTTTAAATGTTCAGTAGTAAGTAGTTTAAAGACTCGGGGGTTTCCCTACGTTTTCTAACACTGCTCTACCACCCATACTACCCTATCCTCATTTACGCCATCCTATCTCACTTCAAACAGACTACCTCACTCCACTCTTTCAGATTTACACTTACGTCGAAGATATCTCCTATATCTTGAACTCCATGTACCTAAAAGTTGAGTAAACGTTGAAATATGCTGGGTATCTAAAAATTACTCGTTTCGAACAATAATAAAAATGCTTGTAAGTTGTAGCTTACATTCGGTGCATTGTTTGGCTGAGGCCCGGCTACTGGGTGCAAGTCATCCATCTATTATAATCAAAAAGAGTTACATCAAGATGGATGTACGTGCAAATTACTGCGAAACAATGAAATAACGCAAAAATATGTAATTTAACTTACGATATCCCTCAGCTGATCTTGAAGAGCTTCATGCTCCTGCGCCCGAGCCCGGAAGGTCTGAAGTGCTCCGTAAAGGCCAAAACTCAGGAAAATCATAAAACAGAGGAAATTCTGCATTTGATCTTGACGTTCAGCTAGAGCATCGCGATCCTGAAGTGCACTATCGCGTTCATCACGTGCCATTTCTCGGTCAGCAAGTGCTCTATCACATTCATCACGTGCAATTTCTTGGCCAGCAAGTGCTCTATCACGTTCATCTTCCGCTTGCTTTAAATCTGCCTCTAGCTGCTCAACCTACAAGAACAGTAAATACAGTTTACATCAACTCTGCACATGATGAAGTCCCAATTCCCATGATATATACAACTGATTATCTTTACCTTTTGTCTGAGTGCACCATTTTGCTCGTCCAAAGAATGGCCATTTGCCGCCAAATGATCCAAAATTCCCAGCATTTTTTCATCCTGAAAATACCAGGTTTAAATAAATGAATTATTTAAATGCAAGAAATTGACCCTAAACTTTTAAAATAATTATAGAAATAAATTAGAGTTGTAATATGTTTAGAGATGCTGGAGAGGGGTGGCAGCCAGGGGGCATTTAAATTAACTCCTAATAATTTGATTGATGTGGAAGAGAGTATATAAGCACTCTATTTAAGAAGACAACAAGTTACCTTTTGTTTGAGTTGAACCAGTTGAACATTGTCCTCTTCTAAAGTCTCATTCTAAAATTACAAGATCTCAATGAAAGAATTTACAAGAATTAAATAAACAGGTTTTCAATCAATGAATTACCATTTGCATGAGATCAGCTATTTTTTTAGCCAAGATGTCATTTTTCTTTGTTAAAGATGCAATTTTTTCATTAAGACTCTCCTTCACCTGTTCAATTGCAGCATTTGCCTGATATGAATATATTAGATATAACAGTTATTAACAAGGAATATCATTTGCAAATGATAACATTTGCATAATTGTACCTGAATAGTAATTTTGTCTTCTAAAAAACAAATTTCTTGCTCTAAAACGTCTTTATTTTCTTTCAACCTCTCATTTTGCACCTCTTTATTGTGAAACTTTTCTCCCAAAATGTGAAGCTACATTTAAGTGTAATTAAAAGTAATTTAATTATAGGGTAAATACATCAAGCTAAGTCAAGCTGTACATCATTGGCAATGCATCAATCTCTATCAGTGTTGCCAACTGTAATTTTGTAAAAATCCCAAGTAAGCGCCTGAAATATCCCGAGATTCCCCCTAAAATCCCGAGATTCTAATTTCAACCCCAGTCCTCAGCTTTGGCGCACCCTAGTACCCAGTCCGGTCAGTTTGCGTTTCAAAAGCGGTACTTCTCTGCATAACCGATTGTACAAATAGGACAAATAGTCTTTATTGAGTGACTTTGAGTAGCGTTTTTGCCGCAAGTATTAATTTACCTTAGATTTTTAACATGTTTATTTGTCAAATTAACGAAAACATCTTTTCCCAAATTCCAAACTTCCCTTTCCCAAAAATCCCTAAAAAAATCCCGAGATTACCATTTGAGAAATAAATCCCAAAAAAATCCCAACTGCTTCAAAAAATCCCGAGATCTCGGGATAAAATCCCGAACTTGGCAACACTGATCTCTATTTAAATAATTCTAGCTACAAAATTTACCTCACTTTCAAGTTGAGCTATTGTGCGGCGACAATCAGTAATCTCATTTTGACAGCCCATCTAAAACATACAACATACTCATCTAATACCACAATTAATTATTGAATATTGTATATAAACTTAATATTATATACATTATATACCCAGTGTCCCCAAAAAAGTTTGATTCAAACATATATAGCTTCTTATAAAGTTTCCTCTAAATTTATAATGAAATATAAACAAATTTCATTATAAATTTAGAGGAAAGACTAACTTTCATAACTATTAATTGTGCATGTTAACTTCTGCATGTTATACGGTATGATCGACTAACATATAGCAAAAATTTTAATTACCTTTAAGAATGGTATGTACATTATGAGTTAAGTTAAAATATACAAATTTTTAAATAGATTAAAATAATGCTGTCATGAAAATCACCTGACATCGATGAGACAAATTTACTTGTGTTCCCTTGTTTGGTTGGGCATTAACATTGAACTGGAACTAAAAAAAGAATCAAAAAATACATAAAACAAACATTTTAAAGCATTAATTGTGAATTCAACAACAACATGCAGTATTGTGTTGGAAGTTTTCAGATATGAAAATAAGATGAGTAACAATGATCAATGAGGAACAATGATGTACGTGGCATATAGTTGTATATAAACATTTGTAGGATATGCTAAAATTGTAGCATGCACTTTGGGAGTCTTGTCAGTTAAAAAAAAATAAATAAAAATAAATAGCAATAATGAAGAAAGTCATACATTAATTACGTAGGCTAGCTTGCCTGTACAGATCGATTATAGCTATCAGAAAAATGAAGGTCTTGCATTTGCTTTTGGGCTCTTGCCACGTCAGATTCTCTTCCCTGCACCCAGCCACGTTTGAATTCCTCCTGCATCATTGAATCAAGGACTGCATCACTACTTAGACCAGGTGCCTGATCTCTGTAATCTCTGGAATTTGTATGGATCGTCCCTCCACCTCTTGATCTTTTTTCTTGTACAAACTTTGGTCTTCGCCGTCGTTTTGATAATTCATCATGAGATTCAGTGTCATGAATGATGAATTTATCACGAGCCCGAGACGCTTCATGATCATCATCCTATAGGATACACAGTATTAAACATAACTATATAATTATTCATATTTTTGCACCAAATGTATCCCTTTTATTTATAAACACAAGAGTCTGCTTTTGCTATTTTATATGGAGAAAGATTGAGACCTGGTATAAGCATTGTAGTCGATGTCATGTAATCAGCAGGATACATGTAATCAGCAGGCATTATAGCTAAAGCTTTTGTTGTTCCAAGAGTGTGTTCGCAGGACAATTAGAGTACTAATTATATTGGATTCTAATTATATTGGAGTTTTGATATTGTGCGCAACATCATGGCACACAAGTTTGAGTTTTAGTGATGGATGCAATTTTTTATGGTCAAGTGAAAAAAACAGTAAACAAATGTACTAATTTGTTATACAAATTAACACATATACATATAATAACAAATATCATTTGTTATCATTATGTTATTATGGATATGATATTGATATTAAACAATCATGCAAGCATGCTTTGAGACTCCAGATAACTTAATTCTGATACATTTTCTCAGGAAATTGACCCATATTATGCGTAAATAAATGTAACTAATTAAGGTTATCAGGTATCTTCTAATTATTCAAATGTGTATCAATGAATATCAAATTATCAATTAGAAACGCTTTTGAATTTTGACATAAGTGCATCAGGGAGAAAAGTCAAATAGTTGTGAAACGAAACTTACCGACGTCTCAGAAAGTTCGCCTTGACGACTAACTGTAGCATCAGATTTTAAACTCATATGAGTCATATCCTTTAGTCTTATCCCGGCTTTGCCTAATTCACTATGGTTTGCATTAGAACTTCTTCTGTAGTGCATTCTACTTCGCGTCTAAACGTTTAAACAGAATATACAAATGAATAAAAACCACGAAGACCTTAGAATTATAGTTTGAACGATGAGTAAGAAGCCAAAAAGATACTTACTTATCACGAAGATTTTGGCTGCGAAAATCTTATAGTTTAGGGAAAATTTGCTGGAATATATTAAGTAAAATTTGCTGACTTCACTGTTTAGACCAAGCTTCCCGCGAAAGCGCGGGGTATTTTTTTCAAAGGCAATGATTTTCTATCGTATTTTAATAGAAAACATTACCATTACGAAATTTATCGCATCTTGGTTTTAGCAGTACAGAAAAGACTTATTCGTGAATAGATAAAAGAAAACGAAAATACGCAGTTAATAGTACTTTATTGACAACAAGTGCCTAATACAATAGTACAACACAACTTCGCGATATCTCAAATCTCAATCGAACGGTCTTCGAGACTCGAGAGGATAGTTTTGTAGTAAAGAGAACACATCATACGAACAAACTTAAAAATGAAACTTGAAATTTAAAATTCAGTGCGAGGTTGAATTTTATTGAAATGACGGGGAATTTTTCCCATTTTCTAGGCAGTTCATGTACACTGGTATTATACCATAAAATATTTTAAAACCTTTCATACTGAAAGGTAGAGTAATAAAAGTAATAAAACATCTAAGCGTTTACATACCGGTATCCTCGATGAACAAGAAGGCAAGGAGTTTAAATCACTGCTTTCGCTGATGTTCAGACTTTCTTCGCTACATACATCAGAGTTGGAGTTACCGGGGTGGGAAGGCTTTCCCACTCTTCCTCTACTCATATTTGGCGTCTTCACTATGCTCCAATACGTGTTTTCCTGCTAAACTACAAAAAATGGCCAGACTAGCAAGAACCACTAGTCTCGTATTGCCAATTGCAAATACTACGGAGTACGAGTATGACGCAACGCAATGTTATGATTTGAAGGTGTGTGTGTTTATATCTGATGACAGAACTTTACATCACCACTTTAACCAATCAATGATCAAAGCTGGATCTCGTGATCGTATACGTCACCATCCACATTTCCGCGCAACCACTGACGCGTAACCCACGCAAGCAAGCTCGTTCCCAGGGTAACCAAAACTAATGAGTGTTTTTTTTTCCAATTCTGAATTCTTAATTTCGCGGGCTTTTGCTGCCGCAGTGGTTTCTCTAGGTTATCAATAACATAATGGTACCGTTGAGCAACTTTAGTTGTACTTGATTCTGAATACTTTTGAGTTTTGAATATTCAATTTATGTTACAAAGTATAACAATGCATTTGTTCTTCATTCCTACAGTAAATCCTTTTCAATACACTACACACACTGATTTATACAACTTCATTACATACAAGTCATTGGGTCACAGATTGCAAAAATAAAATATGAATAAATATATCATAAATTCATTGATTATGTGGCATATAAGATGCTCTGGAATTGCCCTCAACCATTTCATGGTCAGTTCAGATTTCTTTCACAGTTTCGAAGAGAGAATTTGACTCTGACATTTTGAAAATTTGCACAAACCTGACCAAGTCCTCTCAAATTTTTGTGCTAATAATTGATTTAATCGTAAGCTTTTTTGTTCTTTATTTAGACAGTCTCACCTGCACAGTATCCATTTTAAGTGTCTATTAACAGTGGCTCAAATGCCGCAAATTTTCCCTCCCTACAAACAGTCCCAATGCGCGGCGCTGCATCCAGCTTTATTTTGGGATTAGTACTACCAGTTAATCCTGAGACATTACGCTAATCCAAAACCTGAGGAGAAGCTGATTGCTTGCTCCAGTTTTTGCTTCATCATTTCTTGGGTTGGATAACGCGGTAAATCCAGCAAGTTGAAACACGTGTGCGCTACAGGAAGATGCTCGTTGTTAACACCGCCTGAAACAGGCTGAATCTTTATCTAAAGATCCAATGAAAACACAACACAGTGAATATTAAGTTCTTTGAAAGTTTGCATGGCGATAATATTAATTTTTTGAACGTTTGTTTGTAGAAAGACCACGTGAATTAAGTTTTGCAGAGCTTTTGGTGAAATTGCTATATTGAATATTGTGTATGACTGTATAAGAAGCGGTATTGGGACAAGCATACCGTAAAAATGAAAAAGTGACTCGTATAAAAAGAGACTCGTATAAAACTGCTTTCAAACAGGAATTTACTTACATTTAAGCTCCGTATTCCTGTCAAAGGCACACGATCGGTTCCCGTAAGAAAAACTAGTGGAAAAATGGGGAATTAGAGAGACATGCGTTTCGCAAGATTTTCACGCATCACAATTTGCGCACAAGCTAACCACGAAGGGCATTTGCTAAAAAATGGACAAAAATTTACCAAGAAATTTCTTCTTGTATGCAATCTCAAAATCGTTAAATACATCCCAGAAATTCTTTATTACAGGATGATTGGAGTAATACTCGCCCAGATATTCTGCACCCTGAAAGAATTGAGAACGTTTGATGAACAAGATAACTCACCAACTCAAATTCTAGACAAATTGAAACGCGATGTCTTTGCAAACCTCTTTTAATTCATTGAAGTCGTAATCTTGTATCCCCACAACCATTTCCATCAGTTCTTGCGGGTGGAAAAATTCCTAAAATCGAGAAAATCCTTTTAAGTTATCTGCCCGCCAATTGCTAGAGAAGGAACCAAAAACTACAGCCTCATTTATGCCCTGGATACAGTTTTTCTTACATACCAAAACTCGTCCACCACAAACGCGATGGAAACCATTCGAGAAAGCTATGAAATGTTTCTCGACGGATTTATTGACGATGTAATCTATGTACGCATCAACGTAACGGTCTCTAAAGAAACGGTTTAGTTTTGAAACGAAATTCCTCCTGGTTAAGTTGACGAAAGAACACGAATTTGAATAATCGCTTCTTACATACAAAATCTCGCTATTTCACACAACACATCGCATCGCTTCGCAATACTAGCAAGCTCTATCGAATCAAAACCTTATTTTTACCTTTTCACTAATTTTTAAAGAAACGGTTTAGTTTAAAACGAAATCTCTCCTTGTTAAGTTGACGAAAGAACACGAATTTGAATAGTCGCTTCTTAATGCATTGTTGACCACACACTTTAAAATCTCACGTATTCTCAAAAAACGAGATTGGTCTAAAGGCGCTAGCTGTTACACGGTGCAATTTTTCCTGCAACTTGCAATGCAATTCTTCTTTTGAGAGATGTAAATTTGCCAACTACCAAACTTTTGTCTTTATTACACTCCATGGTGTTTCTTACACTTACATTTTGAAGACTCTTCGCTAATTTACATAGAGAAGAATCGCATTGCAAGTCGCAAAAAAATTGCACCGTGTAACAGGGCCTTTAAGTCTGCTGTGAAAGCACGCCACATCTTATGCATTTCAGAACAATCTACAGCCCACCTGTTCTGTCCAGTAACAGGCACATTTTCCCCATCCGGGATCAAATTTTCTGCGCTGATAACACCGTAATATTCCTCGTTTACCTTTAAAAGAAATATGTCAAGTATCGTTGGATTTGGTCCAAAGTTTCTAGCACAATGTGAATGGTCACAATTTCTAGTTATATACGAATTTGGTGAACTATATTTGAGTAAAAGTTGTACTTGAAAATTGAGACAAAACGCGCTTTCCACTTCTTCTTCAGGGTAATCAAGCAACTGTTGAAGGTTTCTGCAAAAATTTCACGGAAAAAAGAGTTGGTTAACTGATAACGGGGATTCACAAAGTATGATTCTCTAGAGGTAAACTTCATCGGCACTGTTTAGACCATCCAGTTCACCAGAAAGAGACGGTGCAGTTGTCTGGTTACCTGGCAACGGACGGCTGAAATGTACGAAAATCGTCCAACGTTATTGGCCTAAACAAAAATGACTCCAGTTAAGAACGGTTGCTTTAAATACAAGCATTTGGAACCAAAATTCTGCCTCGTAGTCGGCACATACCTTTTTAAGAGTTTGTTGTATAGCAAGGCGGGAAATGGAAGGTCGATTATGATGGAATTATAAATGGCCAAGCCACAAATGACTCCGATGAGAAGGAACATCATTTCTTCTTCAAAAGACTGAAACGTGAATAAAATAGACTGAGATGCAACACGAACTTTGATTGGACACGTTATTTGTAGCGCGGGAAACCTGTTAAACTGGTTTCAACATGCATTGATATAGATTCCAGAGCATTCGTTACCTGTTTGTTGAACCAGATCAGGCGGTTTTCCTCGATCGTTTTAAACATGCCGTATTTTGGATCGAGAATATCTCGCATTAACAGAAGAAAAAATTCCTGCAAACACAAGTTTGATCAACTGAAGAGACAAAGTTTTGGACGATCCTTAATTCTTCCCCAACCAATTGCAACATCTCTTTAAGTTAGTGTTTTTTTTTACTCGAGGTGCATCATCTCATCAAATACGAATAACTAGCTTATTTGTAAAGTTGATTATATGTCGAAAATAGTAAAACGCTCACCTTTTTAACCCCACCGGCATCAACAGCTTGTTCACCTTGGAAGACGATCTAGTAATCGATGAAGAAAGACTACTTAACATACTTACTAAACAAATTATATCTATATTCCACTTTATTTGTCATTTTTTTTCTCTAAACACGAGTTAAAAACGACAATGAAATATTCCGTTTTTTCCGCTGTGAACATTTGGACATAGAACGAGTCTTTTTACAATTTGCCCTTTGTCCTGATAAATATTGTCAATTGTACAATTTGTCTTGATAAATATTTTTCTAATCTTTTAGGAACGAATGTAATAATGATTTAGTTCAACTTTATCAAGGTACTGTATACCTGGAGTGGTTTCTTATATTCCATTGGTCCAAGCCTGATCACCTGACTCAGTGTATCCTGGACTATATTCTCTCGCCTTACACGAAGTACAAGGAAAGGATTAATAATCGCGTTCTGAGGAAGCACACCTCCGTTAAACAGAAGATTGCCAATATTTGCCTGATGGGCGTCTCGAAATGCCATCTGTTAAAAAAGAAATATTAGTTATAAGAACTATTAAATAGCTCTGACATAAATTTGAAACCGAAATGGAGTATATTTCAAGACGTATTCAAGTTGTTTAAACTAGGGCGCTTATAAACCGAGTCCTTTCCCGCCATTTTAGATTAACTGGGTGTTATGAGATCAGTGACTTTTACACGTCAGCGCGATAGCTCACCTGCATCTGCATTGAGGCATCGATTTGTAGGAGAAGATACTTTGCTTTCGGGTCGAACACGAAAGGATATTTACAAAAGGAGAGTGTCGTCTAAAAGTCGAAAACAAATTGCTCCTTTACATACAAAATCTCGCTGTTTTACCCAACACATCGCATCGCTTCACAATACTAGCAAGCTCGATCGAATCAAAATCCCATTTTTACCTTTTCACTAATTTTATTGTCCGTTGTGCTCTAAAGAGAACAATTACATTCATAAGCGATGCAATTCTCAATAGTAATAAAGTTGGCGGCATGTCAGCCAAAAAAATTTCTTGCGAATTCTAATCCGTCGGGGTAGGAATGGTTTGATATGTCAAATCGCTTCATTGAGGATCGGCTAAATTTTGAAGAACATTTGGGTCTCCAGATTAAGGTTTTTAGGTAAATATATGAAATTTTCTATTTGGAAAAGGACGACTGTCCTGGTAAAATTGTCTTCCAAAATAAAAAAAACCCCCGCCATTTTTTATAGTGAATTCCTGATTTTGAGGTGAAGAACACGCCCGGGCAAGAATCCACTTACCACGTTTTGAACCCATCTCAAGTAATCGCTCCTTAGATCGAGGCAATCTGTCAGCTCTGGGATATAAAACACGGGATATGGAACCGAGTTTTCGGCACGCTGGTTAACCTACCATTGAAGATGAAACTCGTTACATTTTCGCAGAAACCCAGGACTGAAGAAGCCCAGAGGCA